TGAGTTGCCTTGTGCTTGGAGTGTGTTATACAAATAAACTTGCCTTGGCTGTAGAAGGCCAATGCATATAGGGCAGCATCAGTCCATATTATTGCCTTTTGAGTCAATAAAAAGTGTTAGTGGCTTTTGAAGTTTGAGGACCTTGATTTTGCTGTAAAAATAACTTTGTCTCCCTCCGGATCCTAAAACCAGGACGAGACCGGGATCTTCTTCCGAACCCAGTGAGGATTCTGTGATTTTTATTTAACCCTGGTCTGCTGCAGAGACAGAGGCTGATGTCGTGCCGTTTTAAAGAGAGAAAAAGTTTAATTTTGAATGAGAACAAAGCTTTTTTCCGAGGCCTTAAAACAAATGAGCTGTTTAAGCCCGAAGCAAGAAACATGGAGCTGTTCAAAGAGCCGGAGACTAAGTGAATATTTGCAGAGAGATCAAAACGAGACCAGAGGCAAACAGCACTGAGGCTAAAGAACACGTTATTATTTTTACGGCTTTTAGTTTTGGCAGTCTTAATAATATTAATAGTAATGATAATAATAATAATACATTTCTTTTTTCACATGTCATTATTTATTCACTCCATAGGCACACTGACAGAAGCAAGGCAACCAGTGTGTGCCATCAGCCTCTCTGACCACCACCAGCCATGCACGCACACACCAGACCAGCGTGGCCCCTCCCCCTCACAAACAGCCTGATTCAGCACATGTCACTTATCCCAAATGTCAACCGTGTTTGGACGTGGAGGCGGGACTAATGTGATTCCAGCTTGGAGCGGAATCACAGCTGCAAACACGACTTGACATTTACCGCCTGGACTCTCCACCTTGTCACACTCGCATTGTCTTTAGCGCTAAGTTGTGAGAATATATCCGGGGAAAAGGGAGGGAAAGTTCAGGCATAGGTCATCTGAAATAATAGGATTAAAAGGCCAGGCTAGAACCAGGAAGTACCATCACATTAGTTCTGGTCTCAGGTCTCTGCATTGGCTTTGGTGGCTCAGAGAAAAGACTTTAAAGCAGTTCTAAAACATCTGTGACATGTTAGTGCCATATGAATCAACTCGGACTCTGAGGAGCACAGGGACCGGCCTCCTGTTGGGACTCTGAGGAGCACAGGGACCGGCCTCCTGCTGGGACTCTGAGGAGCACAGGGACCGGCCTCCTGCTGGGACTCTGAGGAGCACAGGGACCGGCCTCCTGCTGGGACTCTGAGGGGCACAGGGAGTTAGAACTAAACATGGGGAGGTAGCATTTCAGATTCATGCAGCTAAAATCCGGAGCAGTCTTCTTGAAAATATGAGACAGTCTTCTACTCTGACTAGGGATGTAAATCGGTGACCGTTTAACCGGTGGTTGACCGTCACAGCGTTAACCGGTCAAAGCTGTTGGTTAAAAATAAGAAAAGTGGAGAGGGGAGGGGAGGGGGAATATCGCTATTTTAAGCCCTATTTGCACGGTGTGACGAGCGGGTCCGTATCTAGCTGTGTGCGCCAATGTAACAGTAAACTCCGGGCCGACTCTCAAGCCTAGTTTAAGCCTAGTTTATACTCGCGCGGCGCGGAGCTTAGGGAGGTGACGTGACATCACTTGCGCAACGCGTTGGTCACCGCAAGGCCCTTACGTCGCCTGCCGCGCAGCATCGAAATTTTCTAACTACGTAAGGATCACCGCAAGGAATCTCCGCTGTGATTGGTCCGTGTGTGTGTATTGGAAGGAAGCACGGAGCGGCTGCAGCAGGAGCATGGACGAGGCATTATGGAGCAGAGAGCTTTGTGCTTCGAAGGAAAAGCAGTTTGGGCTCAGAGCCTGATATACAGGAGACTGTGGACTATCTAACATATATATAACTTATATCTAACATATATATAACTTATAAACTGTGCAGTCGTTTGTTTTGCACTGTTCCTGTCTTGTTTGAATCGTAGCTGCGTTTGTTGCTTTCCTCCTGCACTCGTAAATCGTTCATGTTTGTCTCAGATATTTACCACTATTATTGTTTTGCTGTTTGTGCTGAAAACTATTTAATAATAACTATGTTTCCAACAAGAACTGTGTCTTTATTCACAGCATCACAGTTGAAATGACTTATAAAATAATGAATCCATAAAACTCTCACATAAACCTGCAGTAGAAACACGTGTAATGAGCTCAAACAGCTTTGTTTGCTATTGTTGTTCTGAAGAGGACAAAGTAGCAGCGTAAATGGGACCGCTCCTGTGTGATCGCCCTCATGTGGTTTGTTGTGGGATTACAACATTCTCCTCAAAACTCCGTAAGGGGAACGCGCCAGTGTAACATCAATTGTGCTTACGTAGGTCCACCGCAACCGCTAACGTAAGCCACGCCGCGCAAGTATACACTAGGCTTAAGGGCCTTGCGGTGACCAACGCGTTGCGCAAGTGACGTCACGTCACCTTTGTAAGCTCCGCGCCGCGCAAGTATAAACTAGGCTTTAGAACTACATTAGAGCTTTTATTTACACACACATACCGGTCTGTCGCGCTCCTCTGTGTCACGCAGCCCAAAGTATCCAAATACGCGGCTTCAGTCAAATCACATGGGAACATGTTTGTGCTGATGGTCCTTGTCATTAGATCCACAGACATAACTTGTATTTAAACTTTAGCGGAAACCTGCGAGATGCGGCTCGTCACTCGCTGCTCTGACCATGAGAACGAGCCGTCGTTTGCTGCTAAAAAGTGTTAATAGAAGTATGGAAAGATTAGAAAAGCAGTTTTCTGTGCGCAAAGGTGCCGAAGCTGTTGCGGGTTTTGGCGTCGCTGTCTCTGCTCTGATCCAGTAGAATGCAGAGCTGCACTTATGGAAAGTACGCGGCTCAAAATGGCTGTTATTTCAAAGAAAGTGGAATATTTTTAATTACGCGGTTAACCAGTTTAAACCGGTTAATGAGGCTCAAAGAAAGTGGAATATTTTTAATTACGCGGTTAACCAGTTTCAACCGGTTAATGAGGCTCGGTGGTCGGTCATGAAAATTCATAGTTTTTTACATCCCTAACTCTGACAATGGAGGACAGGTGACGATCCAGGACATTCATTGGTGTCTGCCCCTTATGGATCAATGGCTCTATGTGTTTTATCATTGCATTTCCTGTCTTTGAACTGTTTGATTCTCCAATGTATGTTGGAAAATCGACAGCTTTGTAATGTCCTCCAAGTGTTGTGATGTAGGGCTATATATAAATAAATTGAATAGCCTTTTGCAAGTGTACTATGTAATGAAATCTATAGTTCCTCCCTCACTCTCATAAACAATTGCTTTTCTCACTGGTTAAACAGGAACAATCAACTCTCAGCCCATAGAGTCCAATAGTGATTCACAGGGCTCTATCTCACACTAAAGTCAACATGTTTTCTATTAAGATGACAACAGCATTTTGTGGTCTGATTTGTTCACAGCATTTTACTCTCTCACTCTTTCTATTGGGACTATCAACATGTGTTATTCATGGAAACACAAAGCTTTATATGTGTGGTGTAGACGCGGCGGTGAATACAGAGCCAGAGTAATATGAGCTGTAAGCACGCTCTGTATCGCTCTGTGTCTCTGTGTGTGAGGTCCCCGTAGAGCTGTTAAAGCCTCTTGTCGGAGCCATGTTCCTCTGCTCCTCTGCTGCTCTGGGACGGAGCCCAGAGAACACAGAGAAATGCTGGTTAAAAGGACCAGGAGAGACTTCTACTGCAAATAAGGTTAAAATGAGCAGCCACAGATTATTCAAAGTAGAAGAAAAATATACAAAATTTTGATCTAAAAGGGTTTAGATCAGGGGTGTCAAACCGGTTCCAGAAAGGGCCAGTGTGGCAGCTGGTTTTTGTCCACTTTTAACCTGAAGATTTGAGGAAAGGGGCGGTGTCTGGTGTGCGTCTGCTCAGGTTGGAACTAAAAACCTGCAGCCACAATGGCCCTTCAAAGGACCGGTCTGACATCCCTGCTCTAGATGACCCAGGGCTGGTCAAATTACAAATAATTATCAAAATTCAGCCCAAAAAAATAATTTAGGGTGTTTTTGAATCACTGTTGCGGGGTAATTTGACTCAAGATTAGCACAAGGGTTTGGACAAAATTTTTTAAGTGCTACTAAGCTATAAGCCAAAAGCAGTACAATTTTCCTTTCTCTTCACAAACGGTGATGAAAGAAGTGAGACGCCGGTTACATCTAGTTCTTGGTCTACAGCCTCAGTCCTGGGTCTACAGCCTCAGTTCTGGGTCTACAGCCTCAGTCCTGTCCGTCCTGTTTGTTATTATTGCATTTCCATATAATCTGTTTGTTTCTCTTATCTGTTGTTGGTGAATCGACAACATTGTAAAGCCAACCCCCACGATAAACCAGAGACCTCTGTGTTTTGCTCACCCAGAAAACCCCTCGGTAATACGTGTAGATTCCTCGCTTTAAAAACAGCTTTGAGCGAGTAAATAGCAGGAGAAAACCACATCAGCTCTGGTCCAAACCAAGTTCTCTTTTCAGACTTATCGATTCACACAGACACACACAGAATCCCATTGACTTTATCCCTCATTTATGCTTTCAGCCAGTTTAAACTTAGTAAACAACAGCTCTAGCCAGGTTTTTTGTGGGCCATTTGCAGCGGCAGCAGTGTGTAAACAGAAAAACTACCTCCGAAATAATTGCTTGTCTCTGGGCATGGCGTCTCCCTGGGCTCCTGCGATCGGCTCCAAGCTTTATATTGTGGACATAACCGGAGTGTGTTGTGACAGACCAGAACAGCAGCTTATCAATAACTTTTCATTAAAGCCGCCAACGTGACAAATGGTGCAAAACAAAGAGATTCAGCTTTTATCGAAGGCAATTTGTCCGCATTTGAAAGCCGGTTAGCGGCGTTGTTATGAAGCCACAAAGACTATTGTGCTTTTTATCGGCTGCTGTCTCCTGTGAGATCTTATTTCTCTGTTTTTTTCGTTGGATACTAATGGCCACTTTTCGACCTGCAGGAGAGCAGAGATGCGGCCACAAAAGTGTAGTAATGAGGGGAAGACTAAAAGGAATCTACGGCGATAATGGTGGGAAGGGATGGGAGAGGGGAGCGCCAGGTTTGTGGAAAGTGGAAGTAACATGGAACATAAAGAATTGGATTTACAATATATGTTCATGAGTCACTCCACACGGCCGCGGTGTAACACTATGGAGGCTCAGAGGAGGAACTATAGGAGTTTGTTTTGTTAGTCACTTTTAGAATTAGGTATTTATCCGACTGACTAACTCATTCCCACTGAGCAAAAACATGTGGTTTTCTGCAAAAAACAGCTTGCCTCTTCCTTCCTTTACCACTGACAGGTGTTAACTGACCTAGTCTTTTAGTCAAGGCATAGATTTGAGTGCTTATGCCTAAATTTATTTATCTATTTATTATCTCCAATGATGATGTGTTTTACTATTGATATTAGCACTACTATCCTTATTGCCCGTTTAAATATACAGTATATCTCCATTTGGGGGGAGAGAAGAGTAGACCAAAATACTGTATATTCATAATAGCCAATTTGTGCGTATGTCTGTCCGTGTGTGTGTGTGTGTACATTCTCTTTTATACATTATCTAAGGCTGTACATTAGATATAGACCCTAGTGTGTGTGTGTGTGTGTGTGTGTGTCTGTATGTATTGCCCTATCTTATGTACATTGTCTTGGGCTGTACAGACCGTAGAGTGTGTGTGTGTGTGTGTGCATGTACTGTATGTAATGTCTAGGGGCGAATCCTCCAAACAAATACAGTACATTACTAAAATATCCAAACATAAAAGCGTTCTATATTTTTTTTTAAATTCCCCTTTGTGGTTTTCCTTTCTTTTGGAGGTGACAGCGAGGCTGCAGCTCCAGCCGTGTTCCTCTAATGAGAAATACAATAGAGTTTAACAGAGCTGCTCTTATCTCCATTAGGACGCGGGCGCGCTAGCCGGTCCTGCACGCGCTACGCTAACGCTCCCATCCTGCCACCGTCATTTATTGGCCTGTTTAATCTCCCAACATATTTTTAGCTGCGAGCGCAAACGATCGATGGGAGGTTTACTGTCGAGTCCAACAATAAAAAGCGGCGATTACAGAGCGGCGCGAGACTCTTCAATTATTCAGGCCGCGCTCAGAGAGAGAGGACGCGGTCTCTGTCTGAGCCTTAGTTACAACGTCTCCTTTGGGTTTGCAGACCCATTCACCAGAGACGCACATTCAACAGATGCATTGTTTAACCTTCAAGCGACCGAGTGGGGTCTGACACGAACCCTGGCATTTATATCCATGCACTTTTATCATTTTAATCAGAAAAAAAGTTTACCGAGGATGTGTTTGTCCTGCATTTGTTTAAAGAATTTTGCAACGATCATTCCTTGTGGCAATTATAATTCAAACTTGTATTTTGCCAACTCTACGCATAATATGTTCCTGTATAGTATAACATATTTAGCTTTAGCATAAAAAAAGAAGCAAGTATATAATCTCTAACTTTAGAATAATAAAGAAGCAAATATAAAATCTCTAGCGTTTGGCATAATAAGAAGAAAGTATAGAATCTCAAATTTAAGCATAATAAAGAACCAAGGACGCATTGTAAAACATACTTTAATTGTGGTTTGAGCTGTAGGTCCCCCAGCTTTAAGTTTGAATGAATAAGATAAATGAATCTTGTGTCTGTTGTGTCTGTCCCGCAGCGTTCGTGCTCAGCTGCCCCTTCCCGCCCTCGCCTCAGTTTGGGGAGGTGTCCGTCAGCAGCCTTCACTCCGGGGGCCAGGCCTTCTTCTCCTGTCTGACTGGGTACCAGCTCCAGGGGCCTCGCACTCTCACCTGCCGCAACACCACCACCCCCTACTGGAGCGGCAAGGAACCACGCTGCCGAGGTAATGCCAACTTTGGACTAAACTAAAACATGTTGCTGTAGATTGAGCCATGACCATAAGAATGATATTAATAATAATGATGATAACCAACACATTGTGCTTATATAGTGCTTTTCTGGACAGTCATAGATGCTTTAGAAAGGGGCCAGGTTAATTATTAAACCAAAGTTAAAAGCTAAAATAAACAGTTACGTATAAGCAGTTTTGAACAGGTGGGTTCAGAAGATTCGGTCCTCAGGGTTCAGAATGTTCGGTCCTGTGTTCCAACTGTTTGATTCTCTGATATGTTGATGAATGGACAACTTTCTAATGATGACTGTAGGTGTGTTTTAGTAAATTGAATTCAAGTGATATGTATGTATTCCAGAGATGTGTGTTGATGTTTCTGTTTCCCTGCAGCTGCGTGTGGAGGCCTGGTCTCTAACGCCTCCGTGGGTCGGATAGTGTCGCCTGGGTTCCCCTCAAACTACAGCAACAACCTGACCTGCCACTGGCTCCTGAGCGCCCCCAGTGGACACCGGCTTCATGTGCACTTCGAGAAGGTGGCGCTGGCTGAAGACGACGACCGGTGAGAGCACAAATCACACTGAGCCCTCCCCAGCAGAGATAAGAAACAGGGATCACAGAGTCGTTCTGTGACCCTGAGGAAGACCCAGGACACAGAGGGACTGTGTCTCTCTCTGGCCTGGAAATGCCTTAGGGTCCCCCCAGATGAGCTGGAGGAAGTGTGTGTGGTTGGGTGTCTCGGCATTTCTGCTAAGACTGCTGCCCTCGCAACCCGGCAACAGATAAAGTACATGAAAATGGATGAATGGTTGGAGAGCCGTTCTGGTCGGTGTAAAGATTCCTTTAGAGATTTCAGAATCAGAATCAGAATAATTTTTATTGCCACGTAAGTAACAGGAGGTCACAGACTTGGAAATTGCTTTGGCTCAGTGCAACAGTCAGAAAGAGATAATAAAAAAAAATAAAGAATAAAAAACACTTCTAAGGAATGAATTTAAATTTAAAATAGAGTTACAGTTACTATTTACAATATACAAGTGCACATGGTGCACACAATGTAAGGTGACAGCAGTACAGTGAAGTAAAGTGACGTATGATGGGCAGTAAAGTGACTTTATAAAGGGGACATATATAAAGGACAGGTTATGAAGTGTTCAAGAGTCCAACAGCAGAGGGGAAGAAACTGTTCTTGTGGCGGGAGGTTCTAGTCCTGATGGACCGCAGCCTCCTGCCTGAGGGGAGTGGTTAGAATAGTCCATGTGCAGGGTGAGAGGGGTCGGCTGTGATACGACCAGCCCGGCCTCGAGCTCGGGCGACGTACAGGTCCTGCAGCGATGGAAGGCTGCGGCCGATCACTTCCTCTGCAGAGCGCACAATGCGCTGTAGTCTCTGTTTGTCCCTGACTGTGGCTCCAGCGAACCACACGGTGACGGAGGAGGTGAGGATGGACTCGATGATGGCCGTGTAGAACTGCACCAACATCTGTGCAGGCAGCTTGGCTTTCCTGAGCTGCCGCAGGAAGTACATCCTCTGCTGGGCCTTCTTGATGAGGGAGCTGATGGTCGGCTCCCACTTGAGGTCCTGGGTGATGGTGGTGCCCAGGAAACGGAAGGACTCCACAGAGGTGATGGGGGAGTCCATCACGGAGGGTGGGGGCGGGGGGACAGTGCTCTTCCTGAAGTCTACAATCATCTCCACTGTCTTCTGGGCGTTCAGCTCCAGGTTGTTACCACTGCACCAGGACACCAGCCGGTCCACCTCCCTCCTGTAGGCGGACTCATCGTTGTTGGAGATGAGTCCAATGAGGGCGGTGTCGTCCGCGAACTTGATCAGCTTCACGGAGTCGTGGCTGGAGGTGCAGTGGTTGGTGTACAGGGAGAAGAGTAGAGTATAATAATACTCCGAGAGTAATCCGAGAGTCCGAGACATTCTTCCCCAGACGCACTCGCTGCTTCCTGTCTGTCAGGAAGTCAGTGATCCCTGTCCCCCTCCATTTCATTATGAAATGCCCAATGAGATGTAGAATCTATTTGTGGCACTCAAAAAAACTATTTATTTTTGTTTGTAATTTTTTGTATTTGCCAATGTCTTTTGAGAATAACTGTGTAGTATAGACAGTATATAGATGCCTTACGTGTTTGTGTGTGTGTGTGTATTTGTCTGTGTTTGTGCCTCGTCGTGTGTGTGTGTGTGTGTGTGTGTGTGCACTTGTTTTCAACTCCTGGTGGGTTCCATAACCTGAGATTCCACTCACGTCATGGGGACTGGTTTTACGTGGTGGGGCCCGAACACCGGACCCCACTGGTCCAAGCTTAATAATCAATGGGTAATGCTTTTCTAACGGTCCTTATGCAGTCTCTGTAAAAATATGGAAAGGACCCCTGGAGGTTTACTTTCCTGAAAAAAGTGTGTTATGTGTCGGAACCCTGGTGGTGGGTTGCGGGATATCAAGGAGGGGCACACTGGGGCAATTTCAGTCCAGCAGGCTGGAGCCAATCATGGAGCAGCACAACAGAGGAAATCAGGTGTCAGGCTAGAAAAAGGTGCAAGTGTGTGGTTCATTAGGCTGCAAGAAATCATGGAGGAGCACACTGAAGCGCACGCTTACAAACCACTGGTAAGTGCTGACTACAAGTCATGACTTCAAATTGTTATATAGAATGATTACAAATTATTTGTTGTTTGTGCAGCTTAGTCAAGAGTCCCTAATTGATGAAGTCGACTCAGATTCTGACGATTTAACTGTCAAGAAGAAACCTGTAAAAAAGTATGGAAAAAGAAAAATCAAAAACACTTTTCTTCAAGACTCGGAAAGTGACGAACCAAAGGCAAATAAGATTGTTATCATGCAGCTGCAAAAGAAGAAAAATGGGGGGCGAGTATACAGCAAGAGACACTTCTGCCTCTACTGTTCAATGTCCTGCCACAAAATGTCCCGTCATTTGACTAGAAAACATGGAAATGAAAGTGACGTAGCCAGAGCATTGGCTCTACCTGTGAAATCTAAAGCACGTAAACTTCAGTTTGATTTGATCAGGAATAGTGGAAACCGTGTGAGCACAATTTTGAGGTTTTAAAGGCCGGCATTGGAACTTTAGTCCCAGCTAAACAGCCAAATTCCCCAGTTAAATCCAGTGAGTTTTTGCACTGTATAGACTGTGGGGCATTGCTTAAGCGAAAGTCGCTGTGGAGGCATGTGGCCAGGTGCCGGCTTTCACAGAAAGATGCCCAGGCTAAACCAGGTAGAAGTAGGGTCCAGTCCCTCTGCTCCCTAGCCCAGCCTGTACCGGAGGGCATCAGCAAAAAGCTGTGGTCTTTAATTTCGGCAATGCATCAGGATGAGGTCACGGGTGTTGTCAAAGCAGAAAAGGGGATTCTGAGACTCGGAGAGCACCTGTACTTAAAACACGGGCATGATAAGACTAAGCATGATTACATTAGGCAGAAAATGAGAGAAGTCGGTAGGTTAATTAACGAAGCAAAAACCGCAGGGAAACTGAAAACAATTAAGGATTTCTTTATTCCTTCCAACTTTAACCATGTGATTGATGCAGTCAGGTCTGTGGCTGGATATGATGAGGAAACAAATCAATACAAGACTCCATCCTTGGCCCTCAAACTCGGCCATAGCCTCAGAAAGCTAGCAGATATTCTTGAATGTGACTCAAAAATGGAGCATTGTGTTGATGAACTATTTATTAAAAACCTCCAACGAAGCCGGCTGCTTTTTGAGAAGAGGTGGGACGTCTGTGTTTCTTCTGCTGCCCTACAGACCCTCCGGCAAGCCAAGTGGAACACTCCGGACCTGCTCCCTCTGACTGAGGACGTTAGAGCCATGCATGCACATATTGAGGTATGTCGACCTGAATATGTGCAAACCCTAATAAGTGAGCCAACGTCTAAGCATTGGTCTAAACTGGCAGTTTTGACTCTTTGTGAGGTCATCATTTTCAATCGAAGAAGGGAAGGTGAGGTTTCAAAGATGCCACTGACAGCCTTTACCTTAAGAAGTAAGACTGGGATCCATTCTGACATTGCTCTGGGACTGTCCCAACTTGAGAAAAAGCTGTGTCAGCATTTTCAACGCATTGAAATTAAAGGGAAAAGAAGTCGGAAAGTGCCGGTTCTTTTGACTCCTGAAATGATTGCTTCGATGGAGGTGCTGGTGGAGAACAGAAGGGCCTGTTCCATCTCTGACCATAACCCATACTTCTTTTCCCGCCCGGGCGCAGACACCCACATCAGGGGATCAGACTCCCTACGCCAGGTAGCCAAAGAATGTGGTGCGGTGCATCCAGAGATGCTATCCTCAACCAAACTTAGAAAGCACATAGCTACTATGTCTACAGTTCTCAATATGAAAGAGAATGAGATGGACATACTTGCCAACTTCCTCGGCCATGACATTCGCATCCACAGGCAATATTACAGACTACCAGAGGGGACACTGGAGCTGGCCAAAATCAGCAAAGTGTTGATGGCCATGGAGCAGGGAAGAGTGACGGAATTCGAAGGAAAGAGCCTCGACCAGATACAAATTGAGCCTGAAGGTAATTCTTGATATTATTAAAATATGTATGATTTTTTTCCCCTAAAGGCCACTTGTATTTTTATTTTCTGTGCGACAGGGAGAGCAGTAGAGATCCTCTCACAAACGGACGGGCTAAAAGAAACTTCAAGCGGAGAACCTTCAACCATTCATCCAGATGCACCCCATGGTAGTGGCAGTGCCCCTTCTGGTAAGTGTACCAGGTGGGGGATTACAGCCAGGCTGCTTGGTCCTCACCCTGGGAGTGTATATTGCTAATATATTTTTATTTCTCTCCCTAGAACGTGTAAGAAAGCCATGGTCTGCATCTGAGGTGAAGGCTGTGGAGAAGACCATGACACCTTTCATACAGACTGGAAAGGTCCCTGGGAAGTCTCACTGCCTGGCCTGCATTAATGCCTCACCAGATGACCTTAGACATCGGACATGGAGTGGCATTAAATTCTATGTCAAAAATAGAATCACTGCAATTCGAAAACAAAATCTAAAATAAAATTCCTTTAAAATAGTTGTTTGGTTTCTATTGACTGTTTTGTATTACTTAAAGTCTTGGTAAAAAAAGATTATGTCTATGGGTCCCATTCTGAACGGCCCTGTCAAAAGGACCCACCAGGTAACAAAAACGTGTGTGTGTGTGTGTGTGTGTGTGTGTGTGTGTGTGTGTGTGTGTGTGTGTGTGTGTGTGTGTGTGTGTGTGTGTGTGTGTGTGTGTGTGTGTGTGTGTGTGTGTGTGTGTGTGTGGGGGGGGTGTGTGTGTGTGTGTGTGTGTGTGTGTGTGTGTGTGTGTGTGTGTGTAGGTTGGTGATACAGAACGGGGACACAGTAGACTCCTCTGTCTTGTATGACTCGTATGAAGTGGAGTATCTCCCAAACGAGGGTCTCCTCAGCTCCTCCAGGTTCCTCCTCATCGTCCTGACCACAGACGCCTCTGGGACGTCCACTGGGGTCGCTCTCCGATACCAGGGTGAACAAACGCATTCTTACTAATAATTACTATTACTATGTGTGTTACTATTTTAAATGAACAAAAATAAAGCATATTCATCTCTGACTGTATCTGCCCTCAGCGTTTGCTTCCGGTCACTGCTACGAGCCCTTTGTGAAGCACGGGAACATGACGAGCAGTGACGCCTCCTGGCCAGTGGGGGCAGTGGTGGAGTTCTCCTGTGACGCGGGCTACACCCTGGAGCAGGGCTCGGTCACCATTGAGTGCACCAACCCTGACGACCCGCAGTGGAACGACACAGAGCCGGCCTGCCGCGGTGAGAGAGAGACACCAGGGAACCACCGGGAAACCACCGAGAACTCTATAGGGAGGAGCTATAGATTGTTGACCAAGAAGCTATAGATTCTTCTGCAATCCTGAATTTCTCCTACGAGGATTGATATATAGTATCTCTCTATCTATAGCTATCTATCTATAGTACCTACATCTATCTAACATTAACAGGCTCCACTTGTATTATTTGCTAGCCAAAGCTGAATTTTGATAGAGGAGGCTCCTAATTGGTCTTTGATCTGGATTTACAAAGAATATTTCAAATCAAAGTCAGCAGGATCATATAGAGCTTTTTATCAGAAATGTGTTTCGCCAAACGATCAGAGCAGAGGTCAGACACCTACGGCTTTGGAGCCAGAAGTGGCTCTTCTGATGATTGCGTTTGGCTCTCAGACAAATCTTAGAAGGCATTATTAGTAAGGATTTTATATGTATGGGATTTTTTTCAGTATAAGAATTTGGTTAAACAAAATTATACAACAACAACAAAATGTTGAAATACACACATTCACAGATAAAAATGTTAAAGAATGTGTATGGGACTGTTTTGGCCCTGTCTGCTAAAAATGTTCCCGACCTTTGGAAAAGAGTAAGAGGACTTTGCGTTTTTATGATTATCTGGATCCGCATTAGCTGCCACTGAAGCCGCTATCGTACTCTTTCTGAGATCCTAGCTTGATCCAGTTTCTGTGATCTCTGAATGTTAAGTAATATCAACAAATGTTTCTGTTTTTGATGCTTTTTAAGGAGTTTTAACTCCGCTATTGTGTCCTTAGCGGTCTGCAGTGGTGAGATCACGGACTCGGTCGGGGTGGTGCTGTCCCCAAACTGGCCAGAGGCGTACGACCGCGGCCAGGACTGTATCTGGGGGATCCATGTGGAGGAGGACAAGAGGCTCATGCTGGACATCCAAGTGTGAGTCTGTTTGTGCCTGTGTGCGTCTGTGTGAGTCTGTGTGTGCGTCTGCTGCAGCTGTGGGGAAGAATACTAGACCATATGCACCTTTTTATTAATTAATTTATTATATTATACTACTTATAGGCAGCAGTCTGAGTAGTATAACACCACTCACAACCACTATTTCTGCCTATTTCAATGCTTTAGCCCTTGCTTTAGTCCTGGTTCGGTCCTGCCTTAGTCCTGGTTAAGTCGTACCTTCCTCCTGGTTTAGTCCTGCTTTAGTCCTAGTTGAGACCTGGTCCTGCCCTACTTCAGTCCTGCTTCACTTCTCTTCAGGGCACATACGGACAGACTTTCCTTGCTTCGTTACCGGTTCAGTCCTGCTTTGGTCCTTTCTTCATCCTTGTCCTGTGCTGGTTTAGTCCTGGTTCAGCCCGGCTTTCGTCTGGGTTCAGTCGTAGTTTAGTCCCCGCTTTTCTCCTTGCTTTAGTCTTGCTTCAGTCCTCTTCAGGGCACATACAGACACACTATCCTTGCTTTATTACATGAGGATATTGAGAATCCAAACGTATAAAACACATTCAGTAATAATGAGTCATAGCTGTTTTATCATTACTTTAAAACAAGCAGATGCAGAGGTTTTTTCTCCTTTAGGGTCCAATCGGGTGAATTCTTGTGCATATAACAAGTGCCTCCTGCTTTGAAACGTCTTCAAAAGCATCTCTCCAATCAAACGCTTCCGCTGCTGTAAGTGCATCTATCTTCTGTCGACATCAGCGCCACATCTCGTTCATTAAAAAGCTCTTTATGCTCAGACAAAAGCCTGCACTCCTCTGCGCTGATAGAATATGACATCAGATACAAGAGCCTCCGATAAGCAGCGACAGGAGAGCACCAGGATAAAGGTTAATGATGTGAGCCGCCGTTACACCGCTCTGTTTGGTAAATACAGGACAAGACCGAGTCCAGCGGAGAATGAGGGGCCTGATAACACACACACACACGCACGCACACACACGGAACCCTCTGGCATTTGAGACTCAGGGAAAATACTCATTTGCATATTGGATTATTGAGAATAGTTGTGTGGTTGAGCCGGTTACCTAGCATTGAAATTATGTTACTGTAAAATAGATAGAGTTGGGAGTATTTTGGTGATTCAATTCAATGTCTGACTGTTTCTATATTCTTTCGTTAAGCACTTTGAGTTGTGTACAAACTGTGCTTTACAAATAAACTTGCCCTGCCCTTTGCCGAGCCACTTAAATGTATTGTTGTATAGCCCTAAATCACAACAGTAGTTTTCATGGAGGACACAGAATCAAACAGTTCAAACACAAGAAATGTAATGATTAAAAAACACATAGCGCCATTGGTCCTGAGGGGGCAGAGACCAATGTCCATAAATGTTAATTATCCCTAAATGTCCTGGATCATCTGTCGAAAGAACTCAAGAAACCCAGTGTGAAAGTGAGAGACCATTTCGAGGCCCATATTGAGGGAAGGATCCGTTCCCACAACAGTAATGAGACAATTCACCTCACTAGATCTAAGAAAATCATCTAAATTTCTTGTTTGAGAATTCTTTGTATTGCCATTGTAAGTAACAGAAAGTCACAAACGAGCAAGTTATAAGCGTAATGTTAAACTAACCTCAGAAATTCTATAAACTTTCTTTTTGTAAAGCACATACTATATTCTGATTGGTCCAGGGCACTGAGGACTGTCCAATGGGGAAGCCTGCTATGCCAGATCAGTCCAGGCCATGGATGTGTTATAATATCTTGATAGGGTCTGTCTTCTTTAACCTGCCTCCACATGGACTAGAGGCCACCAGCGGTACTGCAGCTTAAATACACACAGACTGTAAGTAGATTTCTCCATAGACCTCAGTGTTAACTCGAACGGCTCGTCCTCCACTGACAGGAAACCTACAGATTTCATTAATGTCCTTAATTTTGTGTAGATTTTAGTGTTGATTGTAAGTTATTGTGAAAAACTAGTCACATTTCAACAACATAATCTCTTTAATAAATTGCTGGTTCAAACTACAGTTATCTGACATCACCACACACAGATTACAGACTAAAAAGTCTGGGTCCTGTAAGATGGAAAGCAAAAAGACAAAGAATGAAGGAGGCGCAGCTCCTTATAGTAGAAGAGGTGCGTCACGGATTGGTCAAGTCACAGGATGTCATAAATACACATGTAATTCAATAATCTTGTAGACTAGTCCCGAGTCTGAGCCTGAGGGTCTCTCTACAGGCTGTTATAGTCCTACCCAGATGTACACATCCCCATTGACCCCAGAGAAGGATCGAGTCAACAGTTATAAGACACAATTTTAACAAAGCATCTATCCACAGGACACACATGTGCAGTCTCATGACACAGACGCTGCTGAGATGCAGCTAGAGGTCTTATTGTCTCAACGTCACATTGGCCTTATGACTTACATAAGTGATTTCCTGCCATTGAGTGCTGAAATGTTCCCAAACACATTCTATATGAAAACCCATACATTTATTAATATGCTAATAAAACATTTCTTGACAGTTATACAATATCTTTTTTTATGTTAATTTTTCAAAATGTTGTAAAGCGTCTTTGTGTGTCAACATAAAGCGCTATATAAATGTTATGTATTTTCATTTTTGTTATTACTAATATGGTTTCAAAACTATGAACTGTTTCGTTTCCGTCTGGACTGGGCCTTAAACAACTGTCATTTGGATTCCTCTAACACACCTCTGCAGCTCCAGCCTCTGTCCAGGTCCGATAACTCAGCCGTGCGTAGAATCAGGCCTCTACAGACGCTCTGGTTTGCATACGTTACATGACATCAAATAGTTGCTGTTTCCCACCTGTGTCAGTGCTCTATGACAGGCAGTGACAAACGAGCCTCACACCGCTGAAAATAGGTACTGTATGTCAGCAGAAGTAATCTCTGTTCGTTTAGCTTTGGTTCAGAGAGAAGGGAGAGACTAGAGAGAGGCCAGAGAGAGAGACTTGAGAGAGGCCAGAGATAGACTAGAGAGAGACCAGAGGGATGCTAAAGAGAGAGAAAGAGACCAGAAAGAGGCCAGAGAGAGAGAGAGACCAGAGAGACTTGAGAGAGACAAGTGAGAAGCCAGAAAGAGAAAGACCAGAGGGACTAGAGAGAGACTAGAAAGAGACTATAGTGAGAGACCAGAGCGAGACCAGTGAGAGGCCAGAGAGAGAGTACGTTTGTTTAGCCGATCTCCTATTGTTCAGAGAAGTGTCCAGTCAAAACAAAGCCACAAGAACGACCTGTTTCTCTTAATTATTCCTCGACAAAAGCAGCTTTGGGGACAATAATTGCAAAGTGTGAACGCTGCCGTTTGTCGCTTTGTTGCTTTAGTGATGTTGTGGTGTGATCAGTCACAGGAACGGTTTACAACAGAGAAAAACTTGACTATAAATCAGCTGTCAATTTAGGAATATGGATGTGGTGATGATGGATACATGTAGTGAGAAGGAGGCAGTTGTCGTTAAGAAAGCAGTTCAGAGTTTGAGTTAAAATGGCAAAGATGTAAGTGTCTATAAATCAGTTTATGATATATTATTTGTATAGCACAGTTCATACATAAGGAAACTTAAAGACCTTATGCCGGGTTAGATTTATTTAGAAATACAGTTTTAATACCATTTTATATTAGAAGAGAACTACTAAAGGTTTCAAATTCAGTTGTTTTTTTTGTCTGATCCCCCCAAATCGAAATAACCCCATAGCAACGCCCTTAGAGATGAAAAAACTTCACAGCCCTTGGTGACGTCAGAGTGGGTACGTTTCAACCAGTGGGGGCGGGTCCCAGCTCAAAAGTGGCCAAAATGACGTGCGCTGACATGCTTGCAATACCATCCCGGGCCGATGGGGGTGGACCCAGAAGTAGAATTAGCCAATGCTAACATATAGCATTGGCAGACCTCTCAAAAACGTCTTTACAGGATGGACCAAAAGTTGGCTCTTGGCCCAAAGCTCCGTTCCACATGTGTGTCAATGCTGAGGGGGGTGGATTTTTTTGGTCCACTCTAGTTTACTTGCTGTAAATTTTTGAAGTCTCTCGTTCAAATGAATGGAGCTGCGCCGACTGACGCATGCGCAGATGCGTTTTTTCACAATTTTCTTGTGGGCGGGACCACTCGCGGCCATTTTGGATTGCTCCAGTAGAGCACATTTTTTGGCCCATTAGTTAGAACGGCGGAGATAGGCGTGACTCTGTCCGTTAATATATACAGTCTATGGTTTCAACGCTATAAGTTGTTTACAATTTGGTATTCGTTCTTTTTTCGCGGATATTCAAGATGACAAGGCCGTGTACAGCGAGTCTGACATTACTACTAGATTGTAACATTTTGTTGGCACTGAGATAGTCCAGTGGTTGTGTCGATGGACTGCCAATCCAGACACTGGGGTTCTTATCCCACCTCAGACACATTTTCACTCTCAAAACGGCAATTTATGTGTAGTGAGCAATTGTCACCTCTAGAGGGCAGTATTGTGTTGGGCATCAGTGGAGAGAAGAGAGAAAAGGCAGTCCTGTGGCATAGATCCATGGTTTTCAATGCATGGGCGTTACCCACTATGACGTCACACACAGGTTAGAGCATAGACAGCTTAAATTCATGAAGATCGACATTGTCACGCAATTTTGATATCCACAATTTAAAAAAAAAAAACCCGGCATAAGGTCTTTAAAATGCTGAACAAAACAAGATAGAAATAATTACATTAAAATCATGAACAATCACAGTCCATTAAAAAGAAGGAAGATACAGTCCTTCAGTTGCAGCTATACAGAACTGTTTTACCTGGATTTGAACATGGTCAGAGTAGAAGCCTGTCTCACATTTTCAGGAAGACTGTTCCAGATTTTAGCTTAATAAATTGAAAACATTACCCCCCATGTTTAACAATAATACAAATAACACATTGTACTTATATAGCAAGTTTTTGAACACATAAAATATGCTTTAAAGGAGAACAAATAAGA